ATTCTTCGTAATATATGATGTTATAAATCTTTGTAATTGTTTTTGTAATTTTAGTCAAACTTGAGATATTTTGACTATTCAAAATTTAGAACGGACACATACTCCTACTTCTTTTTATATGACGTGTGAACCCATCATTTTCACTTTAGATGCGATCATTCGCCACCGATCGATAGTCGCCAGGTCCTTCCGAATGGGAAGCGCCGCTCCTTCCCCTCTTGTCGCTCGGGCGGCGTGGACCCCACGTGGAGCGTGCGAAACGGAGTGCACGCGGGTGTCCGGATATCCGGACGCTAGTACTGGCGTAAGAGAAATTTTCGTGAAAGTCGACAGGCTTACCGGAATTCGATATCCCTCTGCTTGCTGTCCAGACTTGTATCTCTCGATTTTAAAATCCGAGCACTCAACCCTAAATGTTATTAGTCATTTCGCTGCTACAATTTTTTTTTTAAAAAAGTTATCTAGTTGGCACTCAACACTGCTGCATTTCTCTTTTTAAAAAGTTATCTAACTGGCTACAAATAATGTGGTACTTCGAGTCAACAAATAAAAGAAGATATTATCTACTCCCTCTGTCATAAATTATAAGTCATATATCAACTCTCTTAGGAGTCCAAGTATCTCAACTTTGACCAAATTTATATGATAAAATAATAATATTTATGATATAAAAAATATCGCTAGCTTCATAATATATGATGTCATAAATCTTTATAATTGTTTCTGTAATTTTAGTTAAACTTGAGATATTTTGACTCTTTAAAATTTAGAACGGACACATACTCCTGCTTCTTTTTAGTGTGAACCCATCATTTTCACCAGTCGGCAGTCGCCGGCCTCTGCCTTGGTCGGTGTCGCTTCTGAAGCTACTGGGCCTGGCCGCTTGCCGATCTTGCACCGCCACATCCTGTCGGAATGCAGTGCAGAGGGATCTGACACCATACGCTAAGAGACAGTCTATCTCTTTTATTTTCTATATCTAGCCCTCTTTCTAAGTTCTAATGACTATAAATTTGTTGAGAGACTTAGAAGAGGTGTGCCTTATTTCCGGTGACGGCAAAAGAGGCTCGAGCCCCGATCGATGTACTGCTAGATCCACTCCTGCAGGTATGCCTGTCTTCAAAATTTCAAATCCACCGTGGCTCTAGGTACCTGCACGGTTAGATCCCCTAGGTTTTTTTTATAATTTTGACTACACTATCGTGTCTGGCACGGCAAAACTACACTACAACGCCAGTATATGTGGCGCAGGAAGCCCGCTAACGTGGCAGTCCAAGCCACGATGAATGCCGTGTTGGCTACCCTTGCTGCGCCAACTCACTTGGCGTAGCGACTTTGACACGCTAGCCCTCTTGGTGTGGCAGGGGCCCATACAGTGGCAGCCGATGGTTGCCTTTTTCTCCCCTTTCTTTCTTTCTTCCTTCCTCCTCGAGCTGCAACTCTTCCAGTCTTAATCCCCATCTCCCCTTCTCAACAATCAAATGAAGAAGAAGGGGAGAACACTCCTACAAGGTATATGCCCTTGTTGTACTCACGTATTTAAAAATGCTTACATTAATATATCAGTTTTAGTAGTGTTTAGGGTTTCATGGTTGGATGGTTAATTTGAGTGAATTTTTTTTGATCGGGATAGATCGAGGCACAATATCGTTTAGTTGTTTAATGTTTTCATTTCCCCTTCATCGACATCTAATTCCATGCAACTTATTATGTAGATTAACTTACTATGAACATGTATAAAGTCCTAGAGTTTTCCATGATATTAATTGGACACTTGGTTATGGTTTTTTCCTAAAGCTCAAAGTTGTGTGAGGCTATACGTGCGGCACGCACGACACCACATCAACAAGACGTGCTGGGTACGAAGAACATGATGCATAGAGATAATTGGTGAAAGAAGGGTTGTCTCAAAGAGTTATATCTGGACATGTCTTGAAAGGATGCATTGGTCTATATCCTGAACTACCGGTGTCTAAGTGTGATTGTGGTAATTAAGTTAGCCTAGGTGGCTCAATCAAGCCATCTAAATACTGTTGCATGGGCCTACTATGTATATGGTGATTATTGTGTATACGTACAATGAAACAATAGTTATTTTTCTTCTATTGATTGTCCTCATGTCCTGTTGTGGGTGTGTGCGCGTACGTCGTAAAAATATAGGTAATCAATAATGTGCAAACATCTAATAAAATAAAGGAATGACATAAGTAAAGTCGAAGGGCAACCATAGATCGAGGTACAGTGTGGGATTGGTCAATAAAATCACTTCTATGCAAACGAGCTGAGATCTATGGCAATCTAGATTAGTATGACAAGGATGCAATAAGCTAAAATATATATGCTGCATGAAGGAAGAAGAGAAATAATTTCTCATCCAGTGCTTGCCTGTGGACGGGGAGAAAAGTATGCATGTTCTAGGCGAGTAAGCTGCATATATTGTTCTAGGCGTTGAGCGCACACTGTGAACAAAAAAAACATAGATGAAAAGGTGCCAGAGATATGACGTTTCGAGCCTCATGACTTCCCGAACGCAACACGGAGGCGGCGTACTGCGTAGCATCCACCTAGGCCATCTAGTCTAGGTTTATGGCCTCGTTCGCTTTGGTGAAAAGGCATGGCTAAAAGCATTGTTCGTTGATTTATTATGAGAGAAAAATATTATTTATTCGCTGAAATAGTACGGCTCATAAGACAAACGAACAAGGCCATGTCACGCAGAGTGGTGGCCTCACAGGTATATATTCATGGTTGTTGGTTGTCTACAGTAAGTGAATGGTGAAGAACACGTTGGCTCGTTCGCGTGTCCTTAAATCTGGCTTATCCGTTTATTTTTTTCATCCGAAACAGTGTTTTTCTCTCATAAATTTCTCCAGCATTCCTCCAAACCATCCAGATTCCTCCAAAATTCAGACAAGCGAACAGGCCTGTTGTTAAGAGAAAGTGGTTGCTTGGGAGGAGTCCAAACAGTGTTATAGGACCACAAATGATCACACATGTATACAGCTTGTTCGCTTGATCGTAACAGCCATGCTTATCAGTCATGATACAGTGTTTTTATCTCATAACAAAATAATATCAGTCGACTTATAAGCCATACAAACGAACAAGCCAACAGAGTGATAGATGGGTGGTGGTTTTATTTTATTTTTTCTGGCATAGTATGTGGACACAAATTTTAGTCTAGGGCAAATGATGGCGTGGTCTGCCCTCAATGACAATGCTGGTGCTCTTACCCTGGCGTCCTCTGCGCTAGCTTTCTCGGTTCCTAATCCTATCTCATAGATCAGGAATGCTATACAACACACATGTGTTTTAGTAAAAAAAAAAACACATGGATTTTTTCTCCCTCTCTCCCTCTCTCTTTTCAACTGTCTTCTTGGCCTCTAGCATTGTCTGCCATTGTCTGCAGCGTGCATGTGTGTGCGTGAACATGGGGGAGGAAAGGTGATCTGTACGAAGAGCCAGCAGAAGGACCGCCCGTCCTATACGCTTGCGGCCAAAGGATCGAACGCCCGATTTGTCCTTTTGTCCTTGTATAGAAAAAAAATTGTTTCTTGTGATCTGTGGATCTGTGATCTTGTGATTTGTGATCTTCTAGAGGTAGAAGGAGGCTGGAGGCTGTTGGATCTTAATTCTATGGTGCAGAAAAATTTATGTGTTGAAACTACATAAAACACATGATTGTGCAGTAGATAGACTCCTCCTAAATTGATTGGGAATCCATGTTTATACGCAGGTAGTAGGCAGTATTCATTACATCTATATATTCATTTTCTTTTGTTTGGGGTTAAGAAAAGAAGAGAATTAATATGATAATGGATCACTACATGTCCACATCCCTACTACCGAACACTCCATCTTTGCTTCGGAAGATGACTATTACCGAACACTCCATCTTCGCTCTTACTCTGTTTCTGAACTTCGAAAAAAACCCTTGTTTTTTAAATAAGTCATTGTTGGTTTTTACCGTTCATCATTTTTATGTTTAGATTAGTAAAAGTGTCCGTTCGGTACATGAAATCTAATTTTTGAAATGTAACTCATATTATTGTTAAATATAAGTTATTCAAACTCGTACGAACACGGGCCATAAATCCAAATCACATACAGTATAAAAAGGACGCGATGGCAATTTGATAAATAAAGAAAATGATACAAAAGAAAAAAAAATCACTCTTTAAACTATTATTATATATAGATATAGATATTTGTGCAAATTGACAAACGTACCAGACATGTTTGAAGCGTTTTTGACAAGGAGCTCTTCACTTTACTTACTGAAAAATCAAATAAAAGCTATAAAAAGTATAAAGAACCCCAATGGTACTATATATTTACATAGAAATTGAAGGAGTACTTATTTACATAGAAATTGAGGGAGTACTTATTTTTTACATAGAAATTGAGGGAGTACTCAATTTCTCTACCACGTTCTAAAGACGGCGAAGTAAAGTTGGAACTATTTTCATGGTACGGGCATATGGAAATTGTTATGCTGGTATTTACTATTTAGTGACAAGCTATTGTTATGCTGCTCCTGGGCACGAGCTACTACAACATAATGAAGTAGTGTAAACTGTAAACTTTAGAAAAAGAAAAATTCCAGTAGGGTAAAGAAAACAAAAACGATACAAGCACAAGTAAACCAGATATTTTGTACCATCAAATTCCATTTACCATGATATAACCCAGAATAGCCAACGGACTATCTCCAAAAGAATTCCTCAATGAGCCACAACAAAAAAGAAAGAGAGAACATTCTACAATAATTTCAGGATACACCCTAGCAATCCAATGGAAATTAAGATTCCACTACTTCCTGATGGAAAAGAATTATTTCAGAGCTGGCTATTTGCTGCCTAAAATAATTTCCTATTTTCACCGATGCCCCTTTTCATTGTTGTCAGATTGATGGAATAAACTAGAATTTAACTGCCACCGATCAGGGAAAAATATGGATAATCAGTGTTAGCAATATCTTCAGCTCTAATCCTTTTGACCTAATGCCATAGTTTGTTGCAGAAACCGGTTTTTGCCTTCTTGCTGTTTAAGATTTCTCCAAAAGAATCGACGAGCTGCTCAGCCAGGCTGCTGGGTTCGTCGCTTAATGTTTTGACATATGTGGTCACAGCCTTGCGCTCCTGGTCTGTCGATCTTAGACTATACCAGGTCAAGAACTTCATCCTGAAACCGTTTTCAATGTGTCCATCGCATTCCAACTGCCTTATTACCTTTACACAGTGCTCATAATCCCCATCCAGTTGCCTCGTTGATCCAGAGAGCATTTTTTCATGGCAAATAGCAGAAGCACCATTCTGCTCACATTTATTAACTTGTACGGTATTCACCTTGCCTACTGGCCGAGATTCAACAGCAGGCGGCTCTGCAGTGTGGCCAACTGCGCAGGTCTCAGAGTCACCACTGTCATTTGATCTGACAAGTCCCTTCTTAGAATAATAATGCTTCTCAGTGGTGTAGTCCATGGGCACAGGAACCTCAGCATTTAGGTCGGGGACAGAAGATGATGAGTTGAAATGAAGCTTGCGACAAGCTCCAGATAACTCAGTCTCTGTAACACTTCTGCTGCAGGAACCTTCATGCACATCTTCAGAAAACCCTTCAAAACAGCCTTCTGCATCCAAAGCTTCCTGAAAGTTCTTCCAAATATCTCGGATCTTGAACCCAGTTGACTTACAAGACTGATTCCTGTCTCTTTTTTGTGCCTGTGTATCCCTTCCCACTGCATTCTGTGGTGCACGCATGGCAAATATCTCCCTGCTCTCAGTACGACATCTAGATTCTGAATGCCCAAGTACCCCATCATCTGTGAATGATATAACTCTGAAAGAATATTCTGTGCATGGGGTAAGGTCAAAAAGTAGTATTTTTCTTTCATCTTTGGACACAATAACAGGCTTTTCCCTACTTGGTTGCTCTCTGCTCTTCCAGTACCATAGCTTATAACCTTTGATAGTGTCAGAAGACGAGGTTTCTTTCAAGATGACAATGAGCGAAGAAGATTTTATGTCTACAAATTTAAATTTACAGGCAACAGGTAATGAATCTGCAAAGAAAAAAGTGCATAAGTCTTCTGAAGCAACACCAAAACTATTATACTAATATTTTATGTAAGAATGATCATCACCTCGAAGATGCAGGTCAGGAGAACTCAACCACTCATCAGCTTTTTGAATTGCTGTAGAGCATAGTTTCTGCACAGCAATACCAGATGAGAACCTGCTTACGATACCATGTGCATTCTTTGCCGACATTCCATCAAGTGGGCCAACCTCACTTTCCAATTTTGCTTTTGCATCTTTGATAATCTCATGCAGTTCTTTAAAATGGATAGTTCCCTCTAATAGCCTGTAGCTCAAATAAATGCGTTGGCAGAGATTATCAACTCGGCGAGCATCTTTTCCAATTACTAATTGCCTTTTCCAATATCTGCTACAAAGAATACATATGTCAATTAAACAAGTCTACCAAGAATGACCAAACCACAGCAGGTGTTCCAATAATGTCCCAAGTAAATACAAGTCTACCAAGAATGACCAAGCCACAGAAGGTGTCCCAATAATGTCGCAAGTAAATACTGTATCTATATGTAAATCATTACAATTTAAGATCAGGCACTTAATTAAAATAATAAAAAACTACTAGACCAAAATTTTGACATGCTGGTATGTTGTACACAGCACCTGTGTTAGGCTAATCAAACAACTTCATGCTCCAAAGAACTAAAAATTGGAAAAGATAATTTCAGCCTTTTAGGTTTATTCAGCCTTTTAGGTTTATTCATCTTTGAAGGGCGGGCCTGGTGCAAGCGGTAGAGTCTTACCGCCTGTGACCGGAAGGTCCCGGGTTCGAGTCGCGGTCTCCTCGCATTGCACAGGCGAGGGTAAGGCTTGCCACTGACACCCTTCCCCAGACCCCGCACAGAGCGGGAGCTCTCTGCACTGGGTACGCCCATCTAAGATGTACTCCCTTCATTTTTGAATATATGACATTTAGGATAAGCTAATTAGGTAAAAAAAATGAAACTAAATTAGCTTTGTCGTAAATGTCACATATATAAAAATGAAGGATGTACATTTTACAACTTTTACCAACAAAGGACCCTTGCATCTACACAATGTTATATACATTGGATGACTACACAAGCTGACAGCACGACTAGAATATCCACTGAAAAGATGAATTGGGTCCTAGTAACCTAATTAACTTGAATGTTGCATGTTCTAAAATGGTTTGACAAAATTATTTATCTACCATCAATAGGAATGAAACTTCTATCAAAGGTAAAGAAAATACCACAGTTGAAAAATGCTTTCTGAATTTGTTCACATTAATTTCATTATTACTGAGGTGGAGCTAGTCACTTTCCATGCAGAATTAATTTTTGCACATGCATACAAAGAATCGCAGAACTGCACTTGTGCGATGTTTCATATAATTTAATAATATATTAAGAACACATCTATATTTATCTAATGCAAGTTCATTATGTTTCTAGATTCCAACAAGAATATTATGATCGAACAGGGAAAAGAAACAAAGCAAAATACAGCAGAAATAATGAGACTTGAGTTAAGTAGAAATTATACTTTACCCTAGTATTCCAGAAATCTTTCCACACGAGGCACAAGAATAACTCCCATCAAGATGTATAATTTGCTCCAGATCAAAGCATCCTACCCTCTTGTCTTGGAAAGCACATTCAATATGGCAAGAAGAACCACAACAATTCTTGCTATCATTGTCAGATGAGCAAACTAACCATTGACTAGGATCCTTATTGTCATCGAACTTGTGGCAAACACAACACGAGCACCTCTTGCAAAAGGAATCTTCTGATGGTCTAACAGCTTTACAGGCCAAATTTTTGCAGATCCAAGTGGTAATGTGTTTCACATCATTGATAGGGCGCTCTGTTTTAGCCACTTCCTTCGTACTTGCGTGCTCATTTGTTATTGTTAAGTTGGGTGCAGATTGTTTCTGCAGTTCAGTGTTCTTGCTTGCTTGGACAGGAGGTGTTTTGGGCATGTCTTCAGTTCAGTAAAGCAAGCAAGATCTCTGTCCGTCCTTTGCTGATTAGCATGAGTAACTCTCTTCTTAGTAAGAACTCCGAAACCCTCCTCGGACAGCTGGTTGTCAATGATTGACCTCTTTATTACCAGTTCATCATTAAGCCATGGAGTACTTTCAATCAGCGAAATAACAACCTGGAATTTTAATGCAACGGTAAACGGAACATAATCAATGGAGAAATAAAACAAGCCGAACAGAAACAAATCCGATATCATGATCAGTAGGGACACAACACACACATGGCAATTAATTTACAACTTTCCAGCATCACAATTCGGAAAGGGAAGTAGTAACGGACATGTGCCCTCGATTAATCTGGAAGCCGTTATTTCGATAAAAATAGAAACCCGAGCACGTGATGCCGGTAGCTCAGCTCTATCTATATTAATGACAAAGTGTCTAATACGTAACAAAGAAAAGCATAGCATGCAATAGCACGTAGAACAACAAAAAGCATGCAGTTTCACGTAATGCCCCTAAAAACAGGGGAGCAGGCAGGACACAAAAGCCTAGGGCTAACCCTGATCATACATATGAACTCTTACCCACCCTAACAATGTGCTGGTTGAGTACCAAGTGACCAAGGTATCCCCTTCAATATCCTTAGATTAGGGACCCTAATATCTCATACAACCAATCAGCCAACGACTAGAAGCCCCCAGTGGTATGCATAAGCTTCCCTTCGTTATGGCTGTACAGCAACATTGCAACCACACGGAACAGTTTCATGTAAAAAACAGGGGAGCCAGGCAGGACAGAAAAGCCTAGGCTAACCCTGATCACACAAATAAACTCTTAGGGCTAACAATGTGCTGGTTGAGTAGCAAGTGATTGAGGTATCCCCTTCAATTCCTTAAATCAGGGACCCTAATAACTCATACAACCAATCATCCAATGACTAGCAGCCCCCTAGTGGTATGCAAAAGCTTCCCTTCCTTATGGCTCTACTAGTTCCTGTAACCACATCTATCTACATACAGCAACATTACATTACAAACCACACGGAGCAACATCTAGCCTCCATTTCCAGAAATTCATATCCATAGGGTCAAACAACAAATCAACCAACCCCATCATACCAAAAGCTCCCTAAACAATCCTATCTTATATAATGGAAAGGCACTGCTCCTGCCATTTGCTGCTAAAAAAAAGCTCCTTTACACGTGAAGCAATCAATACCCAGGCGATTCCGTCTCGCGAACCCACCACAGCGACGCGCCAAACACGAGGGAAAAGGCCGTTCAATCAAAACCCACGAGCAAAATTTTACAAACGCGTTCGCGCAGCACCACGTCACAGGGTCAGGGCGCCGAGGAGCTTACCACCAGCTTCGTCCACAGTCCACACCCTCCAGCCCCAGCTCCTCCCGTCGGCGTCGGCAGAGGCTAGGGTTCGGTACCCAGGCGAGTTGTCAGTGGCTACAGACGAACGGGCCGCGAGATCCCCAATGCTCGACGCGGCGGGACGAGCGGCGGGAGCAGCGGGGGCTACGACGAGGGCCCTGGCGACGGCCGGGCTGCGGCCGAGGTCCTCCTCCGTCCGCCGGGACGACGAGGCCCGAGCCCGAGCCCGGTCTCCCCGACGCCGAGGAGGTGCGCGGGTCAAGTCAAGCGCGGGCGGCGGGCGTGCGACGAGTTGAGGCGAGAGGAGAGGAGGCTCCCCTGGCCAGGTAGAGAGTAGCGAGTAAAACGTGGGGCGACTGGGGGAGGGTGGAGGGGAGGGCAATGCGCGTCGCCTCGTGTGATTTTTTTTTATTATTTTTAATACTTTTTTAAAACTATTTTTAAAACGGACACTATTTAAATTTTTTTTCAAAACTAACATTTTTTGACACGCCGGTTTGTACGGCGCAGCTAATTCACGCTGCCGCGCCATGCATGTATGGCGGCACGGCAGGGCCAGTCAACTGCTGCAGCGACCGCTACCGCTGACGTGACAGGTCTGACGCACCATCCGTCACGGCGCGGCGGGACTGCCGTGCCACGAATCATGGCGCGGGGCTACCGCGCCATGCATCACGGTGCGGCAAATCTTTTATTTCCTCTCTTAGTGTCTTCGTCCTTAGACGAGAAAACGTGCCGCCACAACTCTCGCCCGCTGCGCCCGCCCCGCGCCGCCCAGCGCGCCCGCGCCCGACTGCCACACCATCGATGCCCCGCCAGTGCCCGGCGTCCTGATGGCCGACGCCTGCCGCGGACACACGGTGACAGGCTGACGGCGTGCGTGACGCCCTGCACTGCTGCCTGCTCCGCGCCTGCGCTCTACAACCGTCTGCGGTCTGTCGCCCAGCCCTGGTGCCCGCCTCTGGACCTGCCCGGCTGCGCGCCACAGCGTGACACCATCTCCAACTGCAGACTGCAGTCAGCCAGTCACAAACTCACGGTTCTAATTCCAAGCTTGGTAATTCCCCATTCTCACGTCTAAGTTCTGCCTTAATTTGATGTTGAACTCTTCCTGATCTAGTATGAATTCCATGAATGAACATTATAATTGATTATATCAATTTTTGTAGCACGTAGAGTTGCACAATGACCCTGTTCGTTTCTCTTATAATCTGTCTTTTTCAGCATGTTTTTTCAGCCGAAACAGTGTTTTTCTCCCACAACAAATCAGCCGGAACAGTGTTTTGGCTTGTTTTTTCAGCGAAGCGAATGAGGCCAATGTAGAGCGGGACATTAAAATTCTTTTTTACCTTGTGACCGACTATCCTATTTCATGCAGGCATGGAATCATGTGGACGTAGGACCAACTGCTCTGTACGTCTGGCAAGAAGCGGAGGTAGTTAGAGGGAACCCGAAGCGGCGGTACAGGCAGTACTCGGACACGCTAGATGTCCTGACACAGCACCAGGTAACGACCACTTTGATGCTGCTAGTCGGTGTTGTTGCTTTTTTATTATTCACAAAATCTAACTATAGTTACCTAACTTTCAGGTGAATTGGTGTCCTTGGTTCAGAATCGAGCTAGAGGGGCACCTGAGTCCTCGCACTGAGGAAGAGTCGGACGAGTGGCTTTTTAACGGGCCACTAATTTTCTTCCACGTGGTCGAGATGCACTACCCTATAAGGGTGTATAGGCAGTTCGAAAGATTGCAGCCATGCCCACCGCCGCACCAACAGAAAGTTACACGGGTGCGACGACTATAACATAATAATTGAGCAGTCATGTGCATACATACAACCACTAACTTAGCGGTGCAGGCAAGGGTCCTGCAGAGCACGACGTTGAGGAGGGCAAGGACGAGGAGGACTACGATGAGATTGGGATGTCTGATGCACCATTTCCTACACAGTTCGACGAACAGATACTTGAAACAGCCCTTCGCCATATACGTCACAATTACTTAAACATTGTAAGTAATGATGCCTATATTGTAATTGCAAGGTCCTAGTTACACTCAGCAGTACCGCCGGGTGTACCGCCAGCGAGACCGTACCGACGTTGGGGTTCACCCCTAACGTGCTGCCTTCACGTCCGAAGAGGCAGCAACGTCCGCGGTACCCATATACTCCTGGGTCGTATGAGTTCTTTAGGATGACATGATGCACTTGTACTCAGACACCCATATACTGATGGAACATGTAGTATGTCGAGTAATGTCGAACTTATGTATTGATGAACTTGTGTCGTAGTTATGACTTGTTGAACTTATATCGAACAGAGGTATTATCGAACTTGCGATGAACTTGGGACGTGTACAAGTTAGTATTGCTGAACTTGTGTATTGATTGTCTCGTGAACTTAACCTTCCTGCTGACCTATTCGTTAAACTAACACGACAAAATAACTTGGCTCATGTGAGAACATAACAGAAGTGCCTTGCTACATTTGCTACCGCTTTGACCGCCGCGCCATGATCGGTGCCGCGCCATGATGCACGGCACGTCGGCCCTGCCATGTCAGCGGTCGCCGCGGCCATTGACCGCCCCATTGAAAGGTCCTTGTATAGTTTTGGTAATTGAGTGACAACCTAGGTGGACTAATTGTGTTTATGTGAGATACACAGGTGATTAGTCCACAGATACATGTGTGTGAACAACATATGCCATGAAGGTGAAAATGGCTTAGAGATGTTGCAAAGCTCACACATGTGATGATAAAGGAGCTCATTGCAAATGAGACATGACATTGAGTCATGTGATCAAGGTGGAGAAGATTAAGACATGACTTGGCTTGATGGACCAGTTGCAAGCGTGAAGGGCAAGTTGGAGGCTTTGGAGCGATGGACCGCGTGGCGGTGAAGCTAAAGCAAGACTTGGCGCCGATGGACGAAGGCAACGGTGAAAAGCAAGTTAAGTCAAGATCAATGAACCAATATGATCACGTGATGATATGAAGTGGATCATATCATTGTTGATTGTGTTGGTGCATGTGTTGCATCGACATTGGAGGAGATGGAATAGAATGCACAAGGCAAAGGTATAACCTAGGGCATTTCATTTCACCGGTCATAGGTGTGTAGAGAAGTTTATGACCGGGTTTAGGATAGATGGCCGTACTATCAAGAGGGGTAAACTTGTTTATATATCGGTCATCTAGTGCCACTCGAGTGATCTAACTTTGCATCGTCGTTAGAATTGAGTGGCGTGGCAAGTTGAGTGGCTAATTCTTTGGAAAATGATTGTGAAAATGCTAGCACATATACATATGGTGGTGTACACTTAGTGGTGTTGGCACATTTATAAAGGAGATGAAGTTGGAGTTGATGTGAATTAACTCGGCGATGGAACAGAGGCGAGAAAGGTTCGAAACTCCACTGGCGGAGTGTCCGCCCGTAGAGTGCAGACAGTCCGATGGTGCCACCAGCGTCCTATACAAAAAAGATAGGGTTTCGCATAACTGATCGTACGCTGGCCTCGGTAGGACCGGCGCGTCCGGTCAGTGGCAGCAGTGAGTGCGCAGTCTCGGTCTCGTGACTGGACGCTGGCGCGAAGAGTGACCGGACGCTCAGGGTC